CGTAGGGGTGTGGGGGGGTGAGCTCCGCCTCGGCCCCTGCCTTCCCCCCATCAGTCCTAGTTAACGTCAGGGACCGCAGCCGGTGGCTTCGGTGTGAGCAGTGACTGAGTGAGCGGTGCCAGCCGTCGTCAAGTTACAGCATAGGGTGTTTGTGAAACTGGAGGCAAACTCTGTCATAAACCCCAAAGCAGCGGGGTTTCTCATGGGTTCATGGTGGGTGTTTATCTCAGATGTGTCACATCAGGCTAGCTTTATGGCCAGCTCCTAGCAATACATGTAAAAATTCAGCAACTGTCTCTGTTTGGCCTTTTGTTTAACTGGCTGTCGTTTCCCTTCAGTGTCTTTCAGTGGTATTTCTTCCCTGCAATTTTATTCTCATGTAATTTTTATCCTGTAAAAGATTATTAAGCAGGGTTTACCTAACTGGTATCCTAGCACAGCATGATATTGACATGTACTTTTGAAATGTTCTGTTTGTGTTTGGATTACAAAGTTTTTATACAGATGCATTTTATCATTTTAATAAACACAATAAAATTTTATTTTGCAGTCATGGCATGTAATAGAGCACAGTCCTTTTTTCTGCAGCACCAGCGGGTACTTCTAGATGATCTATATTTATATTGTTATTTTCCTGCCAGAGGATCTGAAATAATTTTATAGACTACACTTAATACTAATGTGTAGCCACTTCATGAGTGGGACGTGGCAGCACAGAAACTTTAGGTCCTAGCAAGTTTAACTGGAACTCACATAAGCTTTTGTAAATTGGGAATGCTTTTTAAAAAAATATTATGTAATCCCCTACTATCGTGATAATGCATTTTTGTAATCACACATCCTAGACTTAAATATCTCAATTTTTAGAAAATACTGGCATGCATCGTCTTCAAAACTGCAGAGTCCTCTGCCGTATCAGCACCTAGCCCACGTGGTACCGAATTTTTAGGAGCCTTCAGCCTTTGTCTAACTGCAGCTGATAAACTCAGCAAGAGAGCACTCACTTCTGCTAGCGAGAGCCCACTAAAAGATACAGCTTTTGCTTTGCTTGAAAGAAGGCATTGGGACACACGACATAAAAATGGATGTTGTTGTGCCATTTTGATGATCTGACACAAATTGAAAAGCCTGAGCTTGCTTGAGACAGAGTGGCATTGCAGAAAGTGGAGTCAACCTCCTTGTAGGAAGGTGATACAGCAGACATGAAGAAATTTTTGAAAATGCTGAGAAAATATTTGGAACAATATAAGCCCGAAAATGTAGCTTTATAACATATATCAGTGCTTGCAGGTAGTAAAAGGAAGTTATTTAATAACACCTGAACAATATTTTTAGTCATAAAAATCTCATCTCAAAATGATCTTTAAATTCAAAGTGAAATAGCTTCACAGGCTGAGCTAGCCACTAGTATTTAATTAGCTACTGGATGATTGTTCTTTTTTAATGTTTCTGTTCATGATTAAAGTCATGCTGTTTGCACGCTCTGATTCTGCAGAAATAGCCATCAGTGAACAAAGAGCAGGTAATACTTGTTAATAATATTTGTTAAGTGTGGAAATTTTTCACTCTTCTCAGAAACTGCTCGAGTCATAGCAACTTCATCTTCACAGTTCTGAAAACATCCGAAATTGTCTTCCTGCTAGCATGTGGTTTTACATCTGCAACCTCATTTATTTTCTGTATGGCATCAGCAATGTGTTACTGGCCACGTTGGAGCAGATTGGACCTGTGTGGTGCCCACAGCACCACTTTGACAGAGGAGAGGTTTTTGTCTCGGTTTCTCTCTTCTCCAAACTCATGAGAAGATTGGGCTCTGGAGGCCCTCAACATCGTGAATCACAGGCATTTTCTGGAGTCTGCGATTTGACTCTTCTGTTCTTTTGAACAAAATCTACTATGGAAATTCTGTTGTTTAAGAGCTCAGTCACTTAGTTGGAAAAATCCACGTGTAAGGTTGGTCAAATTACAAAAGGATGTAAAATACGGTTTTGAATTGTCAAGATGTTTCTATGGCCAAGCAACACATCATTGCCATAATTTGGTCCAGAGTGTTTCTTTTTTTTTTTTTTCACCTTACAAAAATATATCCATCTTCGTAATATTTCACCAGGGCTTTTAACTGCTGTGCTGGAAAGAAAGAAAAAAAAAGGAGTGAGAACCATATCTCAGTTCGGATAGGGGCATTTATCTCTCAAAACAGGGCCAGGGCAAAGGCTAAAGCTCAGAAGAGCAAGTTACCCTGCAGTTATGCAAACACAGAGCAGAGGATTTGGTGCTCTCTGTTCCGTAGATAAGCGCAGTTTCTCAATTGTCTGATATTTTTGACAGGTTTTTTGCAAGTGTGTAGAATAAGAATAAATCACATTTAAATGAGAAGGGACGCATTTTTGGGGTTTTTTTTTCTCCAGATGTAATTAACAAACTATGCAAGGTACTAGAGAAGGAGAAGACAAGCTTTTAAAAGCCTCCTCTCAAATTTTAATGTGGAATTGAATCTGGAATGGGGCAGAGACATAGTGAGCTATGAATCTGCTAACACTTTTTCACCATATAAGCATTTTTTACTTTCCTTCCTATATTCAGCCTCTTATAAGCCCAGCACAGAGAATCTCATGAAAATCAAAAAATGGCAGGGCTATCTTTTCCTTCAGCTCTGAAAAATGTATAGTAATAAGATCACGTATTAGAAGCAGGTGATGTTTAAAGTCATATATCTAAACTTGCTGTAGGGAAGGCATTTCAGGTTAAAAAAAGAAAGAGGGACCTGGTCTTGGAAGACTTTGTGCTCTGCAATCATCTGCTCTGATGCTAATTTTCTTTTGAGTTATTATCATTGATGCTTTTCTCATTCTGCCTAGGCCCAGATGAGAGATGCAGCATGTAACAAGGGTGGAAGAAAAGGAATGCAAAAACTTCATGTCTTGCATAAGCTGGTGGTTCTGACCTGCTGTATCTTTCTCCAGTGACGTTGGGCATTTGAGGATGTCTGCACTATATGGCACAAATATTTAAAGAATCAGGAGATTGTCTCCAAAATTGTTTTTTGCTGGCCCAAACCTGTGTTACAATGTTTTGTTCACTAAGTGCAAAAATTTGCCTATTGTGATTTTGCTGATGATAGAACATTGGAGTAGGAAACAAAGTCAGTTTATTCTCTTTATGATTCATGGTAGTTTGTATCTCTACCCTTTTCCATGGATATTTTGCTCCAGTTGTTTGTTCAATTCAAATAAAGTAAGTCAACTCTTTTTTTAAACTTTTCATAAACTGATTGCATCAATTTCCCATGTAGGTGATTTGCCATCCCAAGTACCAAGAATCTAAAAGAATCGCAATCTTTCTGAGCATGCCAGATGAAATCCAAACAGAAGAAATCATTAAGGACATTTTTAAGCAAGGCAAAGAGTGTTTCATCCCACGTTACAAGCCTCACTGCAATCACATGGACATGCTGAAGTTATCATCAGCTGAAGATATTTCTTCGCTTACTTTGACATCCTGGAATATTCTTCAGCCTAGTGATGATGACAGTGCAAGAGAGGAGGCTCTTGCTGGTGGTGAGTATTTTCTTCCTGCATTATGGGGCTGTTGAGCAGGAGTAACCTGGAGATCAGTAGGAAATAATCTGATAGCAAGAGTGAAATGAAACGTTACGTTTTGGTTTTAGATGTTGTAGAGGTACTTAAGTCAATGTAAACAGATGCTACTTTCTATTGCCTGTTTTTCTGTACCCTGTGCCACCCCTGTGATATGCCAGCAGAGCAGGAACAAGCCAGCACAGTTGATCCAGCTGAAGGAAACCCACTCCTCCATGTAAATCAGCTCCCTGGCCTGGTGCGTGGACATCCTCAGTGCATAACATGGAGGCTCGTGAAGGAGACAGAGGCTTGCTGGAAGTGGCTTGGGCTGCCATTGAAAGGCATGGGGGATTCACAGTTTTAGGAGGCACTCTGAGAACTTTAGTTTGCGCTGCCTGAAAGGTAGAGAACTTTTCAGGTGATGCCTGTAGGCTGGCATGAGAATTTTCTGAAATCTTTGATCCTGCAAATTGTATTGCATGGATGAATCACAGTGCTGATATGGAGCCTGCCCATGCAGAACAGCTCTCCGAGCTGAGACCTTAGACTGAAAATAAAAGGACTTTTTTGTTCCCTTGGATGAATATTGCAAAGTCTTTTCCATCATTATTCTCTCACAGTTTTATTTTTGATCTTATAATTCTGTCTCAGACACTGGATTCTTCATAGGGTTGAAAAGTTAAAAGTTCATTTAGGTCTAGCTAGTGGCATGAGTGTTTTGGTTTCAGAATAACCTCTCTCTTTCTTAACCTAAAATTCCCCAACTTGTACAAACTTGTAAACAAACTTAGTTTTTCTGTGTCTGCATTCATTATTTGCTTTCTTTTTGTAAACACATTAATACCTTCCTGAAACATCTGCAGAAATATTTAATGTTATTAATGGAAAACTTATGTTGAACTCATGCTTGAAACCTCAGTTTGGGAAAATTTTCTCTAGGTGGAAATTCACCATGCAGCCAGCTTCTGCACCGCACAGACTTACCGGCTTTTTAATGCTCGACAAAGGAACATAACATTATGTGACTTTGGCTGAACTTGGGTTTGTATTTGCTTTGGGATGCCAATGTACTTTCCTAGAACACTTCACTCTGTTTGTTTCTTTCATTTTCGATCTCTACCTCTTTCTAATTCAGAATCCTTTCTGTGTCCACATTTTAGCTAGCAAGAGATTTCACTGCCTTATACAAACACCTTCTTTATATTTAATATTTAGCACTGTTACTTATTTTGCTAATTTTTGTCAAAGATTTGTGTATATTTAGGGGCTTTTGAAGGTAACCCTTAAAATGTCCAGGGCTCTGTTGACTGAGCTTAGTTCAGGCACTGAGGACAATCTTTTGTACCATTGATGAGCGGCTGTCAATTGAATTTAACGACTCTGTTGCAGAGATCACAGAGTAAATACACAGTTTTAGGTATGATGGGAGGAAGGACTACCTGGTGTAGAGTGCACTGGGATGTATTGGCTGGGGATGGTCCAGGTGCCAGGTGGTGAAGATGGGGTAAGGCAGGAGTAACCTTTAGTACCTGGCTAGTTCTGGAGCTGCTGGTTTGTTCTGGGCACCAGGGTACGGTGATGGGCAGCGAGCAATGCCAAGAGAGCTACAGCAGTCTACAGAGAGATGCCAAGAGAGCTACAACTGGCAGTTCTAACAACTGGTGTGTGTCCATGTAAGACTTGTTCTACCTGAAACTTGATTTCAGTCTGTACATGCTGAGTAACTTAGGAATAATTCGGTTCAGATTGGACATAAGACCTTGGTCCTTTATCCTTGGACAGTTTTTGTAGATTAGAGAGTACGTTTAGGTTTTTTTCACTATTGCATAATCAGACCCCCTCCCAATTTTTCCCCACAGAAACACACACCGCATTTCCATGCGTCTTTAAATTCCTTTTGCTATATTTTTTGTGTCAGTTCTATTTTTTGAACTTTGGTACATTTGCAGGCATGC